ATATATATATATATATATATAATTCTTTGTTATAACTCGTTAATGTACATGAACTAAAAATCAAGGGATATGCATTATCCATTAAAAATAAATATTAAACAATATTAATTAAAGTTTTTTACACCAATAATATTAATTATAATTATTTAATAAAAAATAATTGAAATTTTCCCCAAGATAAATTTAAAAAAAAAATCATAATATAATTACAAAACAAAGTCTTATCTTAGTAGTAGGTGAAGTTGGCTACATCATTCCTGTGGTGTCATTTGACAATTGACACTAGCTATAAACCAATACAATAAATGTGCTCTAGCTTATTAAGTGACTTATAAATTAACGAAGTTTTGTTCATGAACATTTCAAACCTAAGCTACACTACTATATATATAATCTTACCTTCATCCCAAACAAACCACGTACAATCTTATTCTACAAAGCAAATTAATTAACCATGTCTAAGGTAGGCTCTTCACTACCGGTTTTTGCCCTAGATGAAAAACCACCCTCAAATTTTCGGCCTATTGCAGAATTTCCCCCTTCAGTTTGGGGGGATTATTTCCTTTCTTATGCTTCTAGTTCTGAGGTACGTGCATCTTCTACTAAGTTTAATATAATAATTTAGGTTTGTATTTGTTTACTTCAGATGCTTCATTTACATATATTTTGAAATAAAATTCAATGGTGTACTAATTTTATTAAGGGTTGAACATATTTTTTTATCCTAATTGTTGTTACACCTCTCTCCATTACCATGTGTAACCTTTATAGGGTTTTGTAAAACTAGCAAATTTTCTTATTCCTTAAACATTATAAAACAATATTAATACATATAATATAAGTATACATTATGGATCGTTTAAATGAAATCAGTTCACTTAAATATTCAATCACATAAAAATGATAAAATTATAATTTCTTGTAATTGATTAATTTCCTTTGGGTCAAACAACCTTACTCTAAGAAACTGTTTTTATTCCGATTTTATTTAAACAATTATAATAAATAAATTTCTTAAAAAGATAGGAAAAGATGGGAAGCAAAGGTATATTCTTGTAACACCAAGCCCCTACTTTAAATTATTTTTATTTTTATTTTCTTGAAAATCATTCATTAGCAGCAATGTAACACCCCGTTACATTGGACTTAATCCAATGCTAACTGGTTTTATTTAATGAAATCAATGATTTTTTCTTTTTTCGGAAATAACATGCCACAAAACAACATAAAGATATAAATATAACTTGCTCATAATAGACATAGCCTTACCATTAATTAAAGAGAAATTAATTCATTATTGGATTATGAAACAAAAAAAAAATACAGGGAAATAAACTAGTACATCATACATACGATTCCTATTAAAACAAAAGGACCACTGTTAACCTAAGGAGAAATTTCTTAAACATTTAACTTCCCTTCATTGTTGCCTAGGCAGCTCTTAACGTCACCAGCCAAGTCAGCAAACCAACACGAATTCTTTTCACGTAATCAACAACATACAAAAATAAGAGACTTATGGTATCTTTATAAATCATAATGTTTTTGATATAGTCAATTTTTTTTAAATCAATAAAAATGACTTAAAGTGTGGATTTTTTTCTTTTTATTTTTATTTCTTTCCTTTTTCATTAAATAATAAATTATTTATAGATAAGTAATTTAAATAATTAACTTACTTTTCCTTTTTATCAAATATTAGTCCAAATATCTTAAATCATTTTGTAAAAATTAAAGTAATTTTGAAAATAATAATAAAATTGAATATGCTGAAATAGAGAAAGATTTTGTGAATATTTTATTCAACTTGGTCTTCAAAATTTACACACAAATATGAAGAATCTCAGTCATGACTCATAACATATAAAAAAAAAAATATATTCTTAATAAATCAACACTACAAGAAATGTTACATACTGACATACAAAAAAGTGTCACTATAAATATCATATATGTAAGTACATATATTTATTTGACAAATAATTACACACAATTTTAATGTTGATTTTGAATGAAATTTAACAACATATTTTTTGTGTCACTATAACTTATACTCGCACTTTTAATAATACACCAACATATATTGTATTTATTGTATAGGTAAAAATAATTTTTAGTGACATATATTGTGTCACTATAGGATTTATATAGAACAATTTTCTTATAATACAAAAATGTTTTCTATAAATATATATAATTTAAAAAAAAATATGATTAAAGGAAAAATATAAATCTTAAATCAAATTATTTATAACACCAAATGTTTACATGTTTAAAAAAAATTTTAAAAAAAATTAAAAACCTTTAAATATGTAAGGATACAGTAGAATTTCTCAAAAAAAAATAAAACAGGGAAAATGTATAGAGTGAGGTGTTTTGTATCTATGGAATGAGTTAGGAGCTTTTTCTACCCCAACACACATAAAATATATAAGAAAAAAAACTTAATTGTTCAACTATGTTATTAAGACTTCATCGTCATCTTCATTGAGATTCTCGAAAATAACCTTAACTGAGTTTTTAAGGCTTTTCCTCACTCAGCCTTCACACATATCAAAATCCTATTTGGGTTCACAAGCATTTTTCCCTACGACTTTAATTTCTTCATTTGGATTTATACTCATTTTTATATATACAACTTGATGGATCTAGTAACTTTAGATAATATGGACAATAACTTTTCATATATTTGTAATATTAAAAATTTTACATATAGTTTTTAAAAGTATAAAAAAATATATATTATAATGATTTTCTACACGTTTTTATATCTACAATTATGATTAAGGATAAAAATAAATTAAATTAGATTAGGTTATACTATAATTTTATATGTCTGAATCTAATTTTTGTTAGAAATACATGTGTTAAGTATGACTTATTTATCTATCACAAATATTTTTTAAATGTTTGGTTAGAACTACAACCCTAAAGACCCGTTTTATAATAATTTAACATCAATAAAAATATAAAAATAAATATTTTAAATTTTATAAAAAGCAAGTTTAATTTATTTATGATATAAACATGTTTTTAATATCTAATATAAACTTTTAGATGATAATTTATTTTAAAATATATTTTATAATAAAAATTGTAAATAGAACATAAATCTTATAATCTTTACTATTTTGATTTTTTTTAATTAACATATATAATTAATAGAAAGCACAAAAGATTAACATGTATATTGCAAATTATATTTTATCAAAGAGTATTTTTCATCACATATGAGAACTAATTTCCTTCAAAAATTTGATAGATATCAAATAAATGAATATCTTCTTCAAACTTAAATTTTATACATATGATAATTTAAACATATATATTTATTTTATTGAAATATAACTTTTATTTTTAAAATATACTACTTTTTTAATATATAAAAAGTATATATACAGAAAATGGTAGTGGGATAAATGGTAGTGAGGGCAAGTATTCCCACTCTAAAAAATAATGGAGAGCAAGTGTATCTCTAATAAAAACATGGTAGCCTGACACCAAATTGACTGCCAGACAACATATTGATGTTCATATAATTAAATTTATAATTTAGTAAATAAGAACCTAACATGTTGCTATAGTAACTTTTCCTTTTACCAAATATGTGTTTATCATATTTTATGAATTAAAATACATTCCGTTAAATTTCAGTAAAAACATAAATACCTATTATAAGTTATAAAAATCCTTCATAATGTTTAGTGTCATGGTTGTCACCGATTGTTTGCGGCTTTTATTTTGTTTAATTTTTCTAGATTATTTCTTTTGATATGTTTCATAATATCTAGAACGTATGTACAACCTTAATGGTTTTTTTATCCTCTTGCACTTGAATTACAACATATAACATAATATTTGTGACCCATTCTTGAACCTAATTAGTTAATTCGGCTGTTTAACTTTATGATTGACCAAAATAAGGTATTTTTACCAAGTATATGATTGCATAAACTTATAAAATGGTATGTATATGAGAGGAAAATATGAAATTAATTGAAATGAATCAAATTCTTTATATTATTTAAAATTAATTTATGTATTTTAACTTTTTATAGAGTGAAAAAGAAAACTTCTAAAATTTAAACCGAGTACATTCGTTTTAAGAGAAGTTTATTCAAATTTGCTCAAATTATTGTTGACAACTTATCTGTTTTAATGAGACTAGTTTGAGTACATATTTAAATTAAGTACGTTGTTTTTTTCCTTAACACATGTAGGAACTTGATCAGGACATTGAGACACAAATTAAAATGCTAAAAGAGGAAGTGAGTAAGATACTTGTCTCCAAGACCGAGGAGCCCTTAGCAAAAATTGACTTAATTGATTCAATTTGTCGTTTGGGTGTGAATTATCACTTTGGAAATGAGATTGATGAAGTTTTACAACAAATTCACAAGAATTATGTTGTTAATGGAGAAATTATCGTCCAATCCAACCTTTGTTCTCTTGCATTGCTATTTAGAATATTGAGGCAACACGGATTTTATGTTTCACCTCGTATGTCTCTAAACTTAATTATCTATGTCAATTGATTTTCTTCAATTCTACTTTTAAATCACCTTATATAGTTAGTGCATAAAATACACCCTAATGAAGAAAAAAAATGATAATAACAATCCATAAACATATATATACACTTTCACAAATAAAGTATCTAGATTGTATATCATTTGAATTTTCATGGAAGCACCTTAAGCATTATCTCACAACTAGTTTTATGAACTTCTAGTTCACATTATAGTTTTCATAAATGTTGTCTCTAACTAACTTTCAATGATATGATTGTTGAACAAAACACAAGTTGTGTTTGAAAATTTCAAGGATGAGCAAGGAAACTTTGGTGAAAAACTTGTCACTGATGTTGAGGGAATGTTATGCTTATATGAAGCCTCACATATGATGGTTCACGGGGAAGACATTTTAGAAGAAGCATTGGCATTCACTTCCACTCACCTTGACTCCATTGTCACCCAACTGACCCCTTCTCTTGCAGCTCAAGTCAAGCATAGCTTAAGGCAACCTCTTTACAAGAACTTGCCTAGGCTAGAGGCACGACATTACATTTCTATCTATGAGCAAGATCCTTCTCATAATGAACTTCTACTCACTTTAGCAAAATTAGATTTCAACAAATTGCAAAATCTACATAAAAAAGAATTTGGAAACATTTACAAGTAAGTTCTTTCTCCATACAACCTTCCTAGCTAAACAAAAATAAATGTTAAGTTGGTTCAAGAAAACTTTATTTAACAATGTTATTGTTTTTTGGTCTCTATAGGTGGTGGAAAGAGCTAGATCTCCCTAGTAAATTACCTTATGCACGAGATAGAATTATAGAATGTTGTTTTTGGGCTTTGGCGGTATATTTTGAGCCCCACTATTCTCAAGCAAGAAAAATAGTGGCGAAAGTACTCGCCATAGCAGCGGCTATTGATGATACATATGACGCATATGGAACCATTGAAGAATTAGAACTTTTCACAGAGGCAATTGAAAGGTTGATTAGAAAAATTATGAAACGCAAATTTTCTTCGCTTATTTTTTTTAAGGAAAAAAAATTATATACATTATTTTAATTAAAGTGATTTTCAGGTGGGATATTAGCTGCTTGGATGATCTCCCAGAATACATGAAATTTATTTATAAGTCAACCATAAGACTTCATGAAGAAATAGAGCAAGAAATGAAGAAGGAAGGAAGAGCATATTGTGTTAAATACGCCATAAAAGAAGTACACATTTTTTCCTAATTATTGTCAAAACTTGAATTGCAAGGCTTTCAAACTAAATTAGTTTGTCGTTTTTATTAGTAGACTTAAAAATTTGCTATAATATTAATTCATATATTAATTTGAGAGTTTGTGAACTTTGACCAATGTATCATTTAAGTGTACATATGTTTAACACATAATATAAAGAAAGTACTCCTTAAAATTAAAAGCTATTATAATTCTACTCAAAGAACAAAGACAAAAATTTTATATGGTATATTCTTAGATTTAGTCTTTCAATATATGTTATAATTCATGTTTGTTTGGCAGTTTAAAATGTTAGTTCAAGCCTACATGAGTGAGGCCAGATGGCTCAAGAACAACTATAAACCAACAACAGAGGAATACTTGCACGCATCATTAGAAACATCTGGTTACTCATTCATGACAACATTAAGTTACATTGGCATGGGAGACACAGCCACAGAAAATATCTTTAAATGGGTAAGAAATGAGCCAAAAATTGTTAAGGGTTCTTGTATTATTGCTAGGCTAATGGATGACATCGTCTCCAATGAGGTATTGTCTTTGGTTTTAAAAATCCTTTGCTTCAATATTTATGTTACACTACATGTTATGAATATTAATTTGAACAAATTATTTTTTGTTCCATAGTTTGAACAGAAAAGAGGGCATGTTTCTTCATTCTTGGAATGCTATATGAGTGAATATGGTGTGTCTAGGGAAGTTGCCATTCAAAAATGTCAAAAGGCAATAACAAATGCTTGGAAGGATATAAACGAGGAGTGTCTCAAGCCTACCAGTGTTCCGATGCCTTTTCTAACACGCATTCTCAATCTCTCACGTTTTATGAATGTGTTCTATAAAGATAAAGATAACTTCACGCACTCCGGAGGACTAATGAAGAAATGTATTAAAGCATTGCTAATAGATCCGGTGCCAATTTGATTGATTCAAGTCCTTTATGATTCCTGTATTTCTACTTTAAATAAAGAAAACATGTCTACATATGGGGTTTGATTTGTCGTACGTGAATTTATGTTGAAATTATGTGTTTGTTAAGATGCATCTACGATGAATATATTGTGAAAATTTCTTAGACATTACTCTAGTATTATAATTTATACTCTTCTCTTATGCAAACTAATACACATATATGCATGCATACGATGGATAGAAATGATATCTTCATGCACAAAACACTACAACACAAAGCATTTCATTATTAGAGTTTACCAAAAGTTGGCTTTGAGACACCAAAATCAATGTTTAGTCTTGATTAAGCATCAACTTTGAAAAACTTTAATGGTATGTTTGGATGAGGAATTTATATAGGGTAATTCATTTATTTGAAGAATTTCAAATTTTTTGAGGTAAAATATTTTATTTGGATGAGAAATTTACAAAGAATTTGAAATCTAAGCATTTATGAAATTTCTTAAAATAATAGAATTTTAAATTTTCCCAAAAATGGCAGAATTTGAAATTTCTCATATTTATTTTTCTTATTTCACCTATATATTTTATCTTATCTCTTCATTATTTTAATTATTGGATATTCAAAAATATTTTTAAAATTATTAAATATTATCTTATATTAATTTTTAAAATTATTAAATATTATCTAATATTAATTTTTAAAATTACTAAATATTTAAAAATGGATTAATATTTATTTTTATAAAATTTAATTTAAAAATCTCAACATATAAATATATTTTTAAAATCAATTTTACTATGATGGAATCAAATTATGATATTCAACCTAACAATTTAAAATTTAAAAAATTTGAATTGACTCATCCAAACAAAATATTTTAAAAATGATAGAAATCGAAATCAAAATAATTCAAATACCAAGAATTTAAAATTCCTTGAATTTATAAAATTTTTCATCCAAACACACTATAACAGTAATTTTTTTGTGTTAATTTCTCCTAGCTGACACTCTCTAGCGTTAGCTAAATTGACATTGAAGCTGTCAATAATTATTTTAATACATTATTTTTCAATTTAGGATTGGCCTAAGTAACTTATAATTTTTATTTTATTTTATTTTATTTAGTTTGTTTTAGTGCTGACTAAATTTATGTCATTTAATTATTTTTTATCAGCCGAACTTATTCTACATTATATTATTTTGTAATATATAATTGTAGTGTTGATCAGGCTAACTTTGTTTTATTTCTATTTAAAGTTGGCTTAGTCGAAGCTAGCAACATTATTTTTTGTTCTGATTTTGTTTGTAAATTCAAAAACATGATACTTGTAAATTAACAAATTTAAATTTTTAATGATTAATTAATTCAAGATAATGTTAAGTGAGAAATATACTAAAATTAAATATAGAAATTGTTATATGCACATGTGTGTGTTTCAATTAAGAAACTTCTAAATATAAAAAAAATAGAACTATTAATAATAATATCATTTGATCAAAAAGTTACAAACAAATTTATCAAATATTGTCTCCACCATAATTGTCCCTATCATAATCGATGATAATAGAGGTGGTGGTAACGGTGATGAAACCAATAATGATGGTGGTGACAATAATGGAAGCAACAATTACAGGCAACAGCAGTTGTGACTTGTGATTATGATCAAGAACAATTTAGCTGGTCTAGAGAATTGTTTTATATCAAACTAGTAAAAAATACTAGTACAAAAGAGGTATTTTACGTCGGCTATTTTAAGGTTTTTACGTGGGAAAAGGGTCCAACGTTAATCTGGGAGACGTAAATTTACGTCGTTTATCACAGCTGATGTAAACATAAATTTATGCATTTTTTTTAAATTTTTATTATTTTTTGATATACGCAAAACCTGCATACAGTCCAAAATACAAAACCTAACCCAGGCAGTCCAGAATACAAATTCAAATATAATTTATATTTCAAAATTGAATGACAAAAAGAAAATAATATATAAAACTTAAAAAGCATAAATTAAGACAATGTAAATCCTATTATCCTAAAAAAGCTATAAAACATATGTTTGTCAATGCTATCAAACTAGAAACATAATATCCAACTAACTAAACTTAGAAATCTAACTATTATATACTTTGAAGAAAAACAGTTGCCCATTATTTTCTTATCTTGATGATTTCATCTTCGGGCAATGGAGATTGATCTTGAAAGATCTGAAATATTAATTTAAGTGTCATTAATATGCAATGTTAATTATGATAAAGGTAAATATACTTAAATAAATTTTTATATGAATTACCTGCCCCCAAGAATCAGTAATACCCGCAGAAACTATGGCTCTCATCCAATACATGATGTAATAGTCACATTCAAACGAGTCTTGTTGCTTATTACACTAAAATGAGAAACAAATAACTATTATTTCCAAAGTCGATAAATTCAAATATTATTGCCTCTATTAATTAATTTGCTAACCTTAGGGTATATGAATTGCAATGTCTTTGATTTGGCTCTTCCACTTAAAATATTAGCTCCAGACACGATTCTAATTAATTGAAATAAAAATAGATGTTAGCCAATATATATAGTTACAGTTTTAAAACATAATGAAAAATTTTAGTTATCCTTGTAATTGGTATTTAATTTCGTGGCTTGGTTTTCGATGTAGTGAACAAAACCACACCACGATGTATTCCTTAGGAATGATTATCATTAACTACCAATGGGACCTACATTGTATGACAAACAAATTAGTTATAAAATTACCATGATTAAAAAACCAATTAAAAAACTAACCCATCAATGTATGGAGCCATGTATATATCTCTTCCTGATTCACTCATCCATTGCATATATTGCTAGATCTGGACCATTGTTTCCTGATTTTTTGATGGATTGAGGCTCAATAAATCAATATACTTGTGTTTGCTCCACATTCAATTTGTCCATGTACCTAACACAATTAATTATTATAAGTTAAATATAGTTATTGTAATTTTAGACTCATAAAAGAAAATATCACTTACATGGCCCACAACTGTATGATAGATATATTTAACATGGAGTTTCCCCCAACAATCTCTAATGCTTCGGGCAGGGATATGTATAGTGGAACATTAGAGCTATCAACTCCAAAAACTCTAATATCCCACTGCAACTGAATTGGTTTCTATTTCAATCGTGGTAATATGGTTAGAAGCCTAGATATGGGATCATCCTCAGCTTCTGCGATATCAGCATCATCAACAACAGGTTCTCTCATGACCTCTTTACCATGATTGATAAAATCCTAAAGAAAGAATCAAAATTAGTTAAACAATAATAGAATTATAAGAATATGAAAGAACAATAATAGAATTACCTTTGCTTGTGCTGAAAGCGACATCACCAAACATTTTGGCCAAGCTAAGAATGTGCCGGTTGCCTGCCCCACTAGTTGAACCTCTGTATTGGACAAAGGCACTGGAGCAGCAGCATCTTGAACTTGGTCAACCACAACCCGTGTCCAGTCTGGCTCTAGAGGGACACCATGGATGGTTGAGCCACCCTCAAATACTCGACGAATAGCCACTAAACGTGGGGGGTCATCCTCAACATATAACTCACACTGGTTTGGTACATTAGTGTGAGTCTGTTCCCCTGAAGGATCTAGAGCAGCACAACTCCCTTTAGTGTTGACTCGAACACCATCATGAACAACTACAGTTTGTTGTTGAGAACGAGCCAAAAGCTCAAACTTCTGTTCAAACTCTTCTCGCATGTTCTTCAATTTTTCTTCAAACTGCATCTCCATTCTCTGCATAGCCTCCTGACTGCAAGAGTCAACAGTACTTCTCCTCGATGGTGGTGCACCAAAGTAATCTCGGTGACTCCAAGAACCACCAATACCACGCACACGCCCTGCGTGCTCTGGCCTTCCTATGGCTGTTGTGAGTATATCATCCCGACCATGGGGAACAAATGAGCCCTGGGTGGTCTGCTCAACTAAACCCTCCTGCAACATATTAACAATAAGTATACCCTAAACTACACTTATGAATTGAATGATTTGAAATGAAGAGTCTTAGTTTGTATATTTTTACTTACTATTTTATCAGCAAAGACCTTTGCAGACTCAGAAGTCATTTGCCATCTGATTTTGTTCGAGCTGCTATCCACATCTAATAGCAGGGAGGTGAGTCCACACGGTTAGCAGACTCAACCCTTGATGCCTCTTCCCTTGCCTTCATCAATTTCTTTTTTTTTTAATTCATATCCCTTTCTTGACAATAGATGAGGTGCATCATTCTTGCTCTGTCGTTCTTGGGCAACTACTCTTTTGTAAGAATTATCGATAACTAACCTGCCAAGAAGGGTCCAATCGAGTGGCACGAAATTGCATCCACTCCTCATCAGTAATTTGGTACTTTAGACAAGGAGTCTCATTTTTTCGCTCTCCAAATACATACTCCCATGTCAAGAAACTCTTGAAGTCTCTCCACCTGGTGACAAGGGCAGATAACATCTTCCTCCTCATGACCTCAATGTTGGGAATGTCAAAATTTTTCTATTAAAATAACAACAAATAATAAATAACGTATTTAAGTTATATAATATTGAAGGGATGTGAAAGTATATACCTGAATATCCTGCCACATGAAGTTCTTGCCAGCCTCCTCAACGTCATCCCATGATGGAATGATAATAGAAACATGACGTCGAGCAAGGACTCCAGCTAAAAGCGGAATAACAGCCCGTTCCAGTTGCATCAATTTTGTATTAATTGTTAATCTAGAACGGCCTGTTCAGGTTTCGGAACGGGCCGTTCTAGATGAACAATTAACAAACAATAAATTCAAGTAGAACGGCCCGCTCTGGTTGCAGAACGGGCCGTTCCAGAAGAACTAAGTTAAAACTAACCTCAAACGTGTAGGCCCAATGCAAAACAACTTACAAAGAGAACGTGTGCAGAGACTGAGATATCTAAGTTTCTTTCTCTAAACTTAGACAAAATTGTGAGCGCACGGGAGGAGAACGAAATGGTCAGCATATAAATAATATTTTACGTCGGACTAGGTGTGGTCCGACGTAAATTATACTATCTACGTCGGACATGTATTGTGACTGACGTAGATAGTATAATTTATGTCGAACCACGCCTAGTCCGACGTAAAATAGTCCACTTTTAATTACAA